CACGCGTCCAGTACGTGAGCGCCAGCCTAGGGTTGTCCAGCAGGGGGGAAGAGGGGCGGGCTTGATGAGGCTCGACAGCGAAAGTCTAGAAGGGGTCGGGTCAAGCATGTATGCGACATTGTTCTGCGCGCGCTCGTAGCCCTGTTCGGCAGCGAGGACGTACTCGAGGAATGCCAGTTCAGAGTCTCCTTCCTCGTAGGCTTGGTTCGCCTCAGCCCACGACGACACCAAAGGTTCCGCCTTTTCGGCAACATTCTTGTAGTACGCCAGAGCAACAGAGCAGGTCTTGTCCCTACCAACACCGTGGTTGCTCATCTCAGCCAGGTAGTAGTGAGCCTCGATGAGGCCGTAGCGAGCAGCCAGCTCGAAGTAGTTGCTGGCGATCCGCACATCATCGGCACCGCCTTGATCAAGGTAGAGCACGCCCATCTCAATCTGCGCTGGGGCGTAGTCCTGCTCCGCAGCGGCCTTGAAAAGTTCTGTCGCGGCCTTGACGTTCTTCGGCGCATTGCCGTAGCCATGGAGCTTCATGAGGCCGAGTCCATACTGAGATTGGGCATCGCCAAGCTTGATGCCACGGCCGAACCATCTGAATGCCTGCTCAAGGCTCTGGTCAACACCATCGCCTCTCAGGTACATACGGCCAATGAAGCCGGCTGCCCGGCCAGCGACCTTTTCGATGCCGGGCTTTGGTGTATCGATGATGCGGCCATCCTTCTTCCAGTAGCGCTTAGCAACCATGAAAAAGTACTTGCGTGCCATGTCAACGTTGCGGGCCAGGCCCCGCTGTCCATCATAGTATATTCGACCGAGGTTGAATGAGGCCTTGAAGTCTCCCCTCTGCGACATGAGATCGAGATACTCAATGACATCATCAATAGCCGCGTTGACGTCCGAGTTGACACTGGCCTTGATGGCGTTGAGACCAGCACTGGAAGCGCTGGCTCCCTCGCCATAGACGCCACCCTCCTCGTCGGCAATGCGATACTGCTCCACGATCCAAGCCATACCACCGGGAGGTCCCGAGCGGTACCACTTGATGGCCTTGTCGGCCACTTTCTTGTAGTACTGCACGGCAGTGTCGCAGCTCTTGGCCGTGGCGACGCCGCTGTGGTGTCTGTATCCAATGGCCATCTCGGCCTTGGTGTTCCCCTGAAGCGCGGCAAACGTGTAGTAGAGCATGGCCTTGGCCGAGTCGGGGGCCACAGCGCCGCCCAGTCCGGTGGAGTAAAAGACGGCCGTCATGTGCTGGGCCGTGGCGTTGCCATGTGTGTCGGCCAGGGTCTTGTAGTGACTGAAGGCGGCCGTCAGATCTCTCGGGTAGGAATAGTTGCCGTAGAAGTTCATGTCGGCGAGGATGTAGAGGGCATCGGGGTTGCTGAGAAGTGCTGACTGCTCGAGAAGCTTGACAGCATCGAGGAGCTGCCCGCTCACGACGGGCTTGCTCTCTTCTGTGGGCGGCGCGCTGACCTCGAGACTGGGGAGCGCGTTGACGACATAGTCAAGGACGGTATCGAGGATGCTGCGGTGGCGGCGCGTTCGCGTACGGGTTCGGCGCGGGACCTTCTTGAGCGCCTCCAGGGCAGTATCTACGAGGTCCGCTCCTGTTGAGATTTAGCTAGCGCCCTTTGCTTGTCACAATACGATAGGCCTCCCCTACCTGGATGTCTTGGGGGTGGCTGTTCTTGTGCCGGAGGGACCGGGATTACGTCGGCCGTTTGTGGAGATTTTGGGGTATCATCATTCGGCGTCGCAATAGTTGGCTCATCATTTTGAGCTACCATTACTTTCTGTGCATCCTGGGAAGTGACGGTGGCGACCTGCAAGAGCACTAGAGTTGAAGGTCAGCCTTTGGGGGGGAAGCTCCATGTAGCTTGGGACATGCGCATGGGGGACTCGGGGGCAACATACGGAATAGCCAGACAACGGAGCCTTTCATACTGGGCAGTTTCTATGTGCCGGGACTCAGGAGAAGCACTCGCGACATGTTCAGTCGCAATGGGGAGCGCGGAAGAGCGTTGGTGGGGTTGTTGGTATGAGGTTCGGCAGATGCTGGCTTTCGAACAGATGTCCGTTATGATGCTCCGAGCTCCACGGACCGGGGTGGTACCTGTCGCGTGCAGCTGTCCACTACCAGAGTACTACAAGACCATTCGCGCTTAGGTACACAGAGTCCTCGTGTCGGCTTATCTAATGACGTGTACTTATACCTACCTACCTTACTTCATATGGGTCGAGACAAAGCCATACTATCGCAAATGCTGTCTGTCAAAAGTATAGAGCTGTATGTACCTTTATTCGCAGTGGATCCAAGTCTCAGCCCGTAGTGCCATCACCTGTCTGCGGTTCCTCGACGAGGCTGGCGCTTCCTGCTTCCCCAAGGGCAGCGTCGACCCCGTCGTATGCATAACCAGACCAGGAGCGACCCGATCTGAATTGATCCTGGCTGGCCAAACACAGCAGGCAGGTAAGCGAAGCCTCGATGCAGACGGAGGCAGCCCAATGGCAACCATCCTCAACACCGCCCGCCAGGCGTTCTGGCTAGGCTTTCTGCACAGTAGCATCACATCCAGTCATGCGTGCAGCTAGTGTACGACTGCTGATGCCTAAGAACTTGCCGCATGATTGCCTCTTCAACTCGGCGAGCCCCCAAGAAACCTGTAATGACCACCGATGTCTTCAAAACGGCCGAGGGTATCGAGCCGCTCCTGAGTACACCCTCACCTGGGACATCCTAACACGCACAATGCACCATGTCACCGTCGCCCGAGGATGACACCGCGATTAAGTTCAATCTTCCCCAGAGCAGCGCCAACGTCGAGGTAGCTTCTGAGGGATTCACTACCCTTTGGTCGGCTCTCGAGGCGGAGACTGAGTGAGATTCACAGCCGCCTCGTTTTTAGCACCATCTTCTCCTCAGTCTGCTGATAGTCGGCCACTCATTATAGCATAGTATTCATCCATGGTCTCCAAGGCCACGCCCAAAAAACGTGGCACTATGGTGCGGTCGAAGAGTCGGGCCGTGGCCTTCTCCGAATTTTCCAATCATCGCAGCGCCAACACCGAAAGCATGACTGCTTCTGGCCAAGGGACCTGCTCCCAAATGACTGCCCGAATAGCCGCATCTTGACGTATGGGTACGACTCGCACGTCAGTCATTTCTTCTCCGGCGCTGCGAACCAGACGAACGTCGTTGGCCACGCCAGCAGCTTCTTACACGAGCTCGAGGCCATCGCCGGGACGACCCCGGACGGCCCATCATTTTCGTTGCACATAGTCTGGGTGGTTTGCTGCTCAAAGAGGCCCTTCGGCAAGCCTGCATCCAGGTGATGATGACGCCTACCTCCGGGATCTCCCCTAACGGACCGAGCGTAACGAAGACAGTCTGGGCTTCGAAGGCGCCGCTGGAGGCTTCAAGATGATATTCGAAAGTACGGTCGCCACCATCTTCCTCGGCACTCCTCACCGTGGCAGTGAACTTGCCGAATGGGGTCTGATGCTGCAAAGAGCTGCGAAAGCCGCCTGCTTTGACACCAGCGATACGCTACTCAGGGATCTCAGCGTCGACTCGGTGACGCTGAAGACGCTCATCACCGGCTTTGCTGGTGCCTACGAGCGGAAGCATTGGGAACTCTATACATTCTGTGAAGGTAAGGCTTTGCACGTGCCATTCTTACCCCGGGAAAAGGTGGTGAGGGACATCTCTGCTACTCTTGGCTATCACCGTGAGCATGTGGACGTCATCAACGCCGACCATAGAGCCATGTGTCGCTTTCGAGGCCTACACGATCCAGGGTACAAGAAGGTGAGGAATGCGCTCAAGGCATGCATGAGGAACCAACCCGGTAGGATAACCCTCCCCCCTTATCGCCTCCGCATAACGAAAGGAACTTTCTGACCATTGCCGTTGCCTCACCTCTTAGGTAGCATTGACGGCATCAAGTTCCGCAAGGCTCTCCGTGAGTTGGATGCTGAAGAAACACGTTGGCGACTCCAACAAGTGGTGCCAGCTTTTGAGGACACATTCGAATGGCTCTATGCCAACAAGCAACTGCGGTTTGTTGACTGGCTCGGCTCCGATGAAGGGCTTTACTGGATTAAGGGCAAACCGGCGTCTGGCAAATCAACTCTGCTCAAGAAAGCGTACACAGATACGCGCACCCAGAAGGCTCAAGTCGCTCTGAGGGCTAAGGGTTTCAAATGCACGACAGCCGCCTTCTTCTTCCACGATCGTGGGTCGCCTCTTCAGAAGTCTTTTGAGGGTTTCCTCAAAGCGGTTCTGCACCAAATTCTGAAAGACATACCCGAGCTGCGATCCGTTGTGCACGAGGGATGGCGATACTTTTATCGCAAATCAGAGCCGTTTACGTGGACCACGGACAAGCTGATCCATGTCTTCGAACACGTTGTCAGAGAAACAAACTTCAACACATCCATACTTCTGTTTGTTGATGCGCTCGACGAGTTTGAAGGTCGGTATCAAGACGTCGCCCGGTTCCTACACACGATTTGTCTAGACAGTCAACGGAGCAAGAACGTCCGGGTCAAGATCTGCATGACCAGCCGCCCAGAACAGGTTTTTCTGGATAACTTTACTCATGTTCCAGGATTCTGGATCCAAGATCACACTGCCGGCGATATACAGCGCGTCGTCGACGTTGAATTTCAGTCCAACTCTAGGGTTGGCCGAGAGCTTCGAGATGGCACTGCGATCCAGAAAGCCGCGATTGACAGTCTGAAGGGGCAGATTACTCGCATGGCTGAAGGCGTCTTTCTCTGGGTCCGACTGATTCTTGAAGAGCTCCTTGGCGACTTCACGGACGGGTCCAGCGTCGAAGAAGTCGCCGAGGAATTGACCCGACTCCCGACGGATCTGACGCGATACTACCAATACTTGCTCGAGAAGAGGATTCGGCAAAAGTACATTCGGCAGTCACGAGTCATGCTCGATATTGTCAAGTGTGCGAAGCGGCCTTTGGTCCTCTCCGATTTCCTTCTGGCATATCGCTTTGCCGCCAAAAGCGACTCGGAGGTTCCGGGTTCTCGCTTCGCCAAGGTCGACACATCGTTCGATGAGGCAAAGAGATTGATCCAGAGTCGATGCGGCGGCCTTGTTGAGCTCAAGGAAGTTCGGCTGGAGAGCACGGAGCGCATCTATGCCTGTCCGGCCTTTTCCGATGACCAACTGGAAGACTATCACGTTCAGTTCCTGCACCAGACTGTGAAGGCCTTCGTGGAGAAGGCTTCCTCGGCCTTCACAGACAGTGAAGATGAGACGCCCGTGAATGGGTTTCTGTACTTGACCAAACTGGGGCTGCTGACCATTGGCGACTCGGCGTGGCCGCGCTACTCGCCATCTTTCTCGTTTCAAAATGATTTCTTGTCGTACCTTAAAGGCTCGGAAGATGCTGGCCTGACAGATATGTCTTGTCTTCTCTCTCAGGTCAGCATGGCAAAGATTCTGGACGCTTTCAACCCTTGGGCCACCGAGCAGTACCTCCCACCACCAAAGAATCTTGCGGGCATCGCCATGCTGGCCGAGACGCCGAGGTTTCTGGAACACGAACTATCGCTCCTGTCAGGGGAAGAGGCATCCAAGGTATTCGTCCTGTTCTGCAGGTATCTTTCGAAACACTGGGAAACCGTTCCCAAGGACATTGCCAGCATTCTTCTCAGGTACAGTACTTCTGCGCAGCTCATCATGCAGGCTGTCAGGCATAGCTTCGTCGATGCAGCCAGCAAGGATGGTGTGCTGGAGAACCAGCTCTATCTTTTGCGAATGATACTCGAAAAGGGGATTCATCCCGACACGCCCATCCCCCTTGTGGTGGGCAAAGTTTCTGCAGGCGGCAAATCGATCGGTTGGAACACGTTTATGCACACAGAGGTCTCGAACCCGCTGCCGCGCGAGGTCTTGGAGCTCCTCCACCAACATGGCTCCGATGTCAATGCCAGGGATCACAAAGACTTGACGCCCCTCGACCACGCTGTGTCGCAATTTCTCACAGCGTTTGACACCATGTACAGCCTCCGCGGGGGAAACGTCCCGACGGCGCGAAAGGATGCGTACGTTCGGAAGCTTGACATATGCCGCTTCTTGCTCGACAACGGAGGTCGGATGACGACCAGGTCTGATCAGTTTCTGTGGGATATTTCAGCGGAGACACGCGAGGAGATCACGGCGCTGGACATACCCGTCGAGCCGAGGCTTCCCTTCCCTCCAAGCATGAGGCCAGGGGAGAAGTTCTTCTTCGGAGAGACAGGACATCCCTCTGGCGGTAAAGAAATGCTGGAGGATTCGGCCTCAGAGTCATCCGAACAGACTGAGCCTCACGATATGGGCTGGGCTGAATATGGTGTGCAGCAGGCACGGAGCCTTGCGTGGTGGATTGTTTCCGCAGGGCGGGGTGGGGGGGATGAGGCTGCTCAGTAGACGCTCTGTACAACAAGTCATATATAGGCCCACAAGAGGACGGGCTGGCTGTTGTGTCGTATGGTACCGGAATGATACTGATCGAATCACATTTTTGGTGATCGACTGCTTAAGCAACACACGAGTGGCTGCGTCAGTGGGAACGTCCCCCTCTATCCTCGGTGTGTCTCGGTGACAATAAAAGTGCAGTTGCCAGTCCTCTGTTGAAGAAGAAAGTGCACGGGCCAGCATTTCACTCACACACCACTCGGTTTTTTATAAGAGGCAACAGTTGACTGGGCTGAGAGCTGCTCGCAAAGTACAGCGTCATACTGATGATCAATACGTGAGCTGAAGTGTACGTTCCCTTATACTATGGCCAAAGTTGAGACCCCTGTCGAGCTTGGCTCACTTCGCATCAGTTTGCAAACAGCACGCTGAAGCTCATGAACCCCTCCGTCTCTCTACCCCTCCAACCCCTCCAACCACCTCCATGCGACCCCCTTCCCCTGAAAGCTCCTGACTGACAGACGAACAGTTGCCCGCCATGTACATGCTCGCCCCCGTGGCCGGTCACCGCTTCACGGGCCGCGACGAAGTCTACGTCCTCGACATCCACCGCCTCGGAGCAGGTCTCGCCTCTATCACGTCAGACCAGCAACTCTCGCTCTTCGACCCAGCCCGCCTCGGCGCCGGCCCCATCACCTCCCTGCCGACCGCGCACGGCAACATCAAGGCCCTGCGCCCCTTTGACCGGTCAGCCTCGACCGTCTGCACCGCCGGCGACGACGGCACCGTAGCCCTCTGGGACCTCCGCAACCCGCGCTCCAGCGCCCTCGCCGCACGCTTCGCCGCCGCCGACGCCCCCCTCACGGCCCTCGCCTGCGACGCCGCCTCGCACACGCTCGCCGTCGGCACCGAGTTCGCCAACCACCAGTCCTCCATCGCGCTGTGGGACGTGCGCGGCGCATCCCCCGCGCAGCGCGCCGCTACGCCGAGGTCCACAGCGACGACGTCACCGAGCTGTGCTTCCACCCGGCCGAGGCGCCGGGCGTCCTCCTCTCGGGGTCGACCGACGGCGTCGTCAACGTCTACGACACGCGGGCCGCCGACGAGGACGACGTCGTCGTGCAGACGCTCAACACGGGCTCCGTCCACCACGCCGCCTTCATGAGCGCCTCCGAGGTCTACACGCTGACGCACGACGAGAAGCTCGCCGTCTTCAACCTCGACGCGGGCTACGAAAAGGGCACGCCCGTCGCCGATTTTGGCGACGTGCGCGCCGAGCTCGCGTGTCAGTACGTCGCCAACGTGACGGCCAAGGTGGACGGCAGCGGCGCCATCATCGGCGTCGGATCCCAGGAGTAAGTTTTTTCTATTTTGTTTTTTTGGCCTCTCTCTCTCTCTCTCTCTCTCTCTCTCTCTTTGTGCGTGCATGCAGATGCTGACGATAGACAGTCGACAGAATTTCCAGCTCGTGCACCTCGCGCGGGGGAGCGAGAACAACAGCTGGGTCTTCGACAAGGCGTCGAGTGTTGGGCTGCCTGGCGGCCACGGGGAGGAGATTGTGCGGGCCTTCTGCTTCTACGACGACGAGCAGGTCGTCTTTACGGCGGGGGAGGACGGCTACATCAAGGCGTGGAGGCCGAATTAGAGGATACCCAGACAAAAGAGGAAATCAGGAAGAAGTTAGAAAAGGAAAAAAGCATGTGTTTCACTGACGACCAGCAGCAGCCCAAAATACTGTCAATGATGCGACCAGACCAGACGGGTGCCGCGAAACATGGTCACAGAACAGGGTATCATTATTTTTTTGAAGAAGGGAACGAGATCCCCCTCTCAACCAAACTTGTCATGCTTGCTCTTCACCTTGAACATGAGCAGCTGCTCGTGATAGTCCCCCTCGCGCCTCGCCCTCTTGAGCCTCCGCACCTCGTCCTCCTCGAGCTTGCGGCCGACGGCGCCCTCGAGCTCCTTGCGGCTGATCCTCTCCTTGGCCCTTCTCCTCCTTGGACGCCTTGAGGCGCGGTTTGAAGCGTGCCTGCATGCGGATGCGCAGCGTCGAGGCAAACGACACGGCGTCGCGGTCGCCGCGCACCTCGTGGCCCGCCTTGGACCCGGTCGACGGCTTGGCCGTGACGAACGTGTCGCGCAGCGTCTGCAGCTGGAACGTGCCGGGCGTGTCGGCGGTCGGGAGGATGTGGAAGCACTCGAGGGGGGAGACGGCGTCCGAGGCCGCGGAGAGGGTGCCGTTCTTGTCACAGCCGAGATATCTACGGTGGAGTCAGCGAGACGGGTCCCCTGCAGAGAGCAGAAAGGGAAGGATGGATGGCGTGAACGCACTTCCCCGTGGTGCCCCTTGAAGCGGAACTGTTCGGTGCCCGACACCTTGTTGGCGACCCAGACCTGCCTGACGTCGTGGGGCTCGGCGGTGGCCGGGTTGCCGTCGACGATGTTCTCCATCTCGAGGCAAAAGACCTTGCCGACAGCGTCGGTGGCCAGGGCCGAGGGAGGGTCGGTGGGCAGGACGAACATGACGGGACCGACAACGTCGGCAGTGGTGTCGGCCGAGACCCAGCTGTCATCGCTGTCGGGATTCTCGGCGGCAGTGACGGATGCAGAGGCGGAGGCGGACGCCGGCACGAGGCTGGACGACTCGGCATCTGGGCCGTCGCCCTCGGTGGCGGGGCGCTTTCTCTTTTTCGGCTTCTTGTCGCCTTTGAAGGATAATGGCTTGACCATGTCTGTGGTGTCTGTGTGGGGGAGATGGTTTCGCGCGCCTCTGCTACTGCTGAGAGAGGCAGCTAGGAGGTGGGATGGGTTGGTTCGGAGGGACGGGGGGGGGAGAGGAGACGGGGCTCGGCGGGCTCCGTAGGCGGAGGATGGGCAGGTTTGTTCAAGATGGGTCGGCGATGGTCCATGTTGGAGATGATGCAGGCGGGATTGGGGTGGAGTGGAGGGTGGAGGGTGGAGAGTGGAGAGACGGAGAGAGGCAGCCTCGCATTACCTAAGCGACGAATCCTCCCTGTAATGCCCTGTAAGCTGTACGCTGTAACCTGGAACCAGGGCTGTAAGGTCGGCCCTGGAAGGTCGGCCCTGTAGCAGCAGCCTTGGCAATCGGCGTTCTCGTCCTTTCCCCCACCCCCACCTTGCTCGACGATGTTAGCCCGAGCTGCGCGAGGGGTCAGTCGGCCAAGTTCAGATAATAAGAGGGAAGGAGGATCCTGACCGAAGTACAAACTTCTCACCAATCCCTCGTCCATCCACTTTTCCCTTACCCTTTCTTTTTCTTCTTGTCTCAAGCCCTCCTATTTTGGCCTATTTTTCTTACATAGGTCAGGACGATAGTTGATACCCCATTTACACAATGACCACCCCCCAAGCGCAGGCAGTGACCGTGTCGCTGAACGATCTCAAGAATGGTGGCGTCTCCTCGCATCTCCTCGCCCCGTGAACATGCCACTGACAAGAATCCCCCAGGCGCCGTTTCGTTTGCGTCCCGGCAGAACCCCATCGCGGCCGACAAGCTCGGTTCCTGATCGTCAAGGAATCCCTGCCGAGCAGAA